AACCTAAAAGAAAAAAATCAACACACGTAGTTTCACAGTTACGTCATCATCAGAACAATTTTATGTATCAGAGCGACATGAATCTCAAAATGAAAGATTTGCTACTGTTGGAGTTAAGCGCTTTAAAAACTCTAAGTCTCTTTGAAAACCGCGCCGGGCAGAGCGAAACCTTTTTTGAAAAGGTGAACATGTATCATATAGGAGGTTCGTACTATATTTAAAACTTCACCTTGTCCATTAAATTGGGAACCGAATGCATCAGAGAAGTGTTTCTGATAATATTATAATATACAATTTAAAAGTCGATATGTGAAGCGTGCTGACAAAATCGAGTTACTTCTCAGATTCAAGCCTTAAATACACTACATCACGCTTGTAGGTGGAGTTTTTACAATTCATATAATGAGTATGAAATAATAAAAGGCATGTTATACTTAAAGAATAGGACATCAGTAGAACAAACTTCCAATTTGATTTTTGGCCAATATCTCTATTTGTGGATTGCAACAAGTAACTCGTTTTGTCTGCACGCCCCACATATTTGCATTGTATAGTAGTCTCTTCACCAATGGTATTTTGAGTTCGTACGTAATATTATGTGGATTGTGAAGGAATACACATAAAAAGAATTAGCACCGTTTTGTCCAAGTGTTATAATAATATAGTGATTGTAGTTGAAGAGAAATTACAATGCCGTTTGTGATACTGACCACCGATGCGTACACGGTACATTGTACATGTATTTAATTTTAGTTCTGTGGACACGTGAAAGTTCAAAATTCAATTCGAAATGTGTCGGAATTTATTTTTCATCTCCTTTGACCAAGATCAAATCTACTTCAGTTATCTAGACTCACCCGAGGAATAGGTGGTCTGCCTCTGAAGTGATAATATACACCGTAATTCGAAGAAAGGTTGTCACTTTAAGCCCATAGCGCAAAATCATGATTTAGATCAACAAAAAGGCGAGGGCTTCGGTTGCGCCTGTGAGGATCAACTTGGACAGTGTGGGATAACAGTGCAGGAGAAATATTATGGAGATCCTCTATCGTCGAAATCAATCTCGCGGCTATTCCGTACAAGGCACAGATCCTATATACATGTACTACACCACAAAGGAAGGTAGATGGCAGATGTGAGGTAACTTTGACAAGAACACATCAGGTCCATGTAATATATTGGATATTACGAAGGAATGTAACAACGGTAGCAACGAAATTCAATGTTTTTGGACTGATATGATAAGTTTGTGCACATCTCGTTGTTCCGTGACGTACAAAAGGCAAGAAGGCATATTTTATACTTTCCAGAAACCGTTGCTATACAGCGTCTCACTATTTCTCCAGTACGTAAGTCAGTTTATCTCTGGAGTAGAGATCTTCGACTTGCAAAGATTCACATTTAGGCAGTAGATCTAGTTGTCCTCGTCGAAGGTTGTTTAGCGGCCTGTTATAGCGAGAAGAGGAAAGATTCTGTTGTGTTCATCAAGGCTCCCTTACGTAAAGAAGTCATTCTACACCAGTGACGTAGGCACTAGAGCTAGGCTTTGGCACTGTAGGATCACCCCTTGTCGTATGTTTCCCTTTGCCAGAAGTCGAATAAGAACCTCTGGTAGAGAGAGAGTATAGGAACAGCCGGAAGGTGTAGATGGAAAACATCAGCAGATGTCCTAGGGGCACAGCCACGAGTATCCCTAACGCGATCGTTAGTGTTGTGGGGAACGCCGAGTTCCAGTCTACGGCTTTGTATATGACGTCATTGCCGCGCATGTCTGTGCCATCTGCGAGGAAGTAGACAAGGTTAAGCAGGAAGTAAAGGACTACGAAGATGGCGGGGTAGACGAAGTGCAGGATCTGGACAGGCAGGGCCGTGACGAGCAAGTTGGCGATGACGAACAGGCTGTTTAAGGCATGCACGGTGACCTCCACGGCGTCTGCTGTCCCTGAGATACAAAGTTAAAAGTTATTGTTTTAGTTTTAGTAAGAGTTTTACGGCACTTGCAACAATCAAGTCGTGTAAGTGCCCAAGATCAGAGGTGTTACATGTGTGACATACAAATAAGCGAAAGACAGACAGCTGTCTGATAGGAAAAAAGGAACGAACCACAGCAGAGCACCCTGCAACCACCCACTAAGCTATTGAAAAGTAAAAGACAATAAGACAAACTTGAACAGAAACAACAATATTATAATATGTTTCAAAGTCACCTTACTGCTAGTGCTAATTTGTTCATAGCTACAGATTCCTTTCCAGTGCACTTCCCACGATTGACTTAACTTCCTTAACGTCCATATCGACATGATTTAAGAACATAATATTATAGAATGGACACAGCAGTGAACCCGCTGCTCGAGCTGAGCAGAATAGGTCTTCTTACTTAGGAATCCAATTCCTGCATTCTGTGTTTAAAGTAGAGAGGGGAAATGTAAAACCCCTGATCCCTGTAGTCCTCAAGATAGTAACATTACACCATGTACATGTACATGTGTAATATGTGACTGAAAGATTGTTTGAATTAAAGTGGTGTTTTGTACATGTTGTACTCTATCTCCTTTTATTGGAAGGTCTATGTGACGGTTCAATGGTTGTCGTGTACCACCAATTTATTGATATTTACAGAATTAAGACCCCCTCCCCCCCTCTCTCTCTCTCTCTCTCTCTCTCTCTCTCTGTCTTTCTCTCTGTCTGTCTGTCTGTCTGTCTCTCTCTGTCTCTCTCTGTCTCTCTCTGTCTCTCTCTCTCTCTCTCTCTTTCTCTCTCTCTCTCTCTCACACACATACAC